CAACTCCTGAGATTCTGTGATTCTGTGACACCAACTGGGCTTGAGTGGAAGGAGTACCCGGCACAGCAAGGGAGGAGGCGAGCAAGGAAGGGAAGGGGGCACAGAAGAGTTTGGGGTAGAGGTGTGTGATTTTGTGGAGATGGAAAGAGAGGGGTTGGGATGGGGATGAGTTTTGTAACTTGTGATCCACTCCATAAAGTGTGGAAATCCTGAGCCTGTCAAGAACAGGAGGAAAAAATAAAAGTGTAAAAATTAGCAAAGCTGAGGAAAATGTGTGACACAGGGGAAAGCCGAAGAGGAGGAGCTGGTGGTGTGGTTATGATGAGCAATTGTAATGCTGCTATTCATCACATTGTCTACTATCCTTGCTATGTTCAAAGGCCTTCCAGGCCTACATGCCTTGTCCTAACTTTCTGGCTTGCTGCTTTGCGTGGTCTGTCCCCAAAAATCACTGTGTTCACAGTTTTGCTCCATTTGTATGTCCATTTAGACTTCATTTACTATGTCAGCACTTCAGCACATCTTGCTAAAAACTCCTCCAAGACTGCTGCAAGACTTCAAGGCAGTGAGCCCAACTCAGGGCCAATAAGGGGCAAGGCTATAACGCTATAAAAATCCCTTCACTATCAATAGCAAGTCATAGCGCTGTCTTGATAATGCTAATGACAAGTGATGCTGTAATACTAAACTGTTCTCAAGATTTCAAAGCATCCTAGTTTCAGGAGCACATTGGAGGTAAATACCGCAGCAGTCTTGTTCAGCCTGGAGAAAAGAAGGCTCTGGGGAGACCTTACAGCAAACTTTCAGTACCTAAAGGGGGCCTACAAGAAAGCTGGGGAGGAACTGTCTACAAAGGCATGTAGTGACAGGACAAGGGGTAATGGCTTTAAACTGAAAGAGGGTAGGTTTAGATTGGGAATTACAAAGAAATTCTATGAAATTCTAAATCACTGTGAAGGTGGTGAGACACTGGCACAGGTTGCCCAGGGAAGCTGTGGATGCCCTCTCCCTGGAAGTGTTCAAGGCCAGGTTGGACAGGGCTTTGAGCAACTTGGTCTTGGTGGGAGGTGTCCCTGCCCATGGCAGCGGGGTTGGACTGGATGGTCTTTAAGGTACCTTCGAACCCAAACCATTCTGTGATTCTGTGAATGCAGAGCTGAGTGAATGCAGAGAAGCAAAGGGCTTATGGTGGCAGAGTGTATGTGTTACGGCTTCAGGAGTAGAACTGAGATGTTCCTACTCCTGGCTTGGGGAAAGTCCATACAGAGGTAAAAGATAATTCAAATATTATCTTAGAGTTATGTATGTGAAGTACCTGTGTCCAATGTAGAACTCTGTCTGCTAAAGGCTTTCACCAGAGGCTTTGGGGTTTTTTGATTTGCAGAGGTGGTCTGTCACACTTGGTGAAGTACAGGACTTGCTTGTTCTTCCCTAGCAATCCAGTATTTTTAAGCAGGAGAGAAGCTGTGAAACCTACCTTGTTCTAGTTAGTTGTTTGCTATTAGTTCAAAGGTTTACTTATAAATTGTGCCAGATCTTATGGGAAGGGAGTTAAAATATTAGCAAAACTTCTCAGAATATTTGGCAAATTCAAGTGCTTGATAGAGAGCAAGATTATTACCTACTTCATAGACCATCTTAGGGCATTAGTTTTTATGGTATCTAAGCTCACCAAATTAGTGGACTTGTCATCAGTATTCTGTGAGGGAGAAACTTCTATATTTAAGAAGAGATGAGAGAAAGATACTGCGATCTGCCCAGGACTGCACTGGGTGCAGAGGACCACCTTCCTTCCCCCTTTTTCTACTGAAGCACTGTTGCAGAGGGGGACTTCCACCCAAGACTTCTCAATGAAGTATTTCTATCTACTTTTCCTAGCCCTTCACAAAGGACGGTGTCTATGGCTTCCTAACTTTCTGGGAAAGGATGAGAGTAGAGAAGGGAAGTATCTTTTATGACTTTTTTTTCTATTATTAGTTTTTAATCTTTAAATTAATTTGGCAACTTTGCACATCTCCCTTAGGAAAGCAGTCCGTCTCCTGGATGATTGTTCTGGCTGCTTCAGTCCTCTTCTAAACTGACAACCAAAAAGCAAAGAACATCAAGGGTTTTCCAAGCCTGTTGGGATTTATGGGTTCATTTTCAACTTCGCAGCAAGAGCTGGACTCAAGTGCATCTCCACACAGATAACAAATAGCAACAGCATCCTACCTTGCCTGTGCAGGAGCTGCCTGCTCCTTTCTGTCAGCAGCCCCTCCCCTTATCTCAGGAGCTGACAAAGCCAAAAAGAACTCCTCCTGCCTTGCAAAGTGCCAAAGAGGCTCTACAGCAGAGACTCCCGAGTCCCAGATGCTTGTGCTGTGGTGAAACAACGCAAGAGCCTGTGCTTGCTCTGGGCTCCTGGCCAGCGGCAGAGCAGTGACACCACACTGCTGCTACTCTGCCCTTCCAACAACAGCTCCATGAGAAAAAAACCCTCTGGTGAGCAGAAAAGCCAAGAGAAATCCCATTCTGATCAGCACCAAAGCCTGATTTATTTTCTTAGACACTTTCTCAGCAGAATGTACATTCTATGTATTTTACTGAAAGCTTCCCCAGTAAATAAGACAGAAATAAAACATCAAGAGAGGGTGATTCCTGTGAATCCTCAAAGGAAAAGGATAAACGCTTATGCACACGTCTCCAGCAAGCCAAGGGCACTATATGGAGGTGACGTGCCAATTTTCCTACAGATTTTAAATGCTTTCTGTGTTGAAATATTTAACGTATATTCCAGACATAAAAATAAATGTTGACATCTATTTTTATATCCTGCTCCATTATTCTGTGTGTTATTTTCTGAATGCTGTCATTTGGGACTTGTTCTGTTTCAGTATGTGGAAGATATTTTTCCACTCTGCATTGCAAGTTCTTTGTGACTGCACCTGTGTGTACAGCAGTAGTTAGGAAAGCTCCAATACAGGTTGTTAGGCAAACCAATGGCCTTGCATAGGCACAATATAGGCATTTAATCCATGAAATGTCTCAGGTCACTTCAGTGTGCTATGAAGTGTGGTGTGTGGCATATTTCAGCACAACTAATGATGGCTCTAGAACTCAGGTACTTTCCAAAGCATTTCACAGAGCATTTATTCCATAGTTTTGTTGTCATGTCATTTCTAATCTTTATGTAATATGCAGTGGATAAATTTATAAGCCATTCTGGTGATCCAGTTATAATATATATATGGTATGACATAAGTTCATGACATATGGAAAAAATACCAGGTTCTGTGAAGATAAATCATACCTCCAAAGTCCAGATTAGAATTTCTTTGAGCCAACCATATGGCCGTAAGAGGTTCAATTGATACAGTATACTTATTTCCTGAAGAGTCTTTAACCACCGAAAGAGTCTTTAATCATCAAAAGAAAGCTGCTGGTGTCTTCTAGAGGGAAAAGGTCAAACTTTTACCATTTTCAAAAAATGCATCATGTGATAATGTCACTAAAGGTGAATTACTACTCCTTAGTCACCTCCTGAAAGCAAGAGAATTCAGACTTGACAGTGAGGACCATGTTTAATTCCTGCCTGGGACCAACATCGCCGCTTGTGCTTCAGGGATCAACCCAACAGAAATACTGCAGGGTCAGAGTTTGTAAATCCCACCTGAATGTTGGGCTTGATGAAGCATCAATGCTAAGAGGAATAGGAAAAAAAAAACCAAACTGAAAAAAAGAAAAAAATACTATATTATTCAGAGCATAAAGTGCTCTAGATGAGCATTTTATAATGTATTAAAGCATTTTAAAAACATGTCATATTGACATACTTAAACTTTGGTATAATGCCAAAAACTTTCAGGATCAGCCTTAACATTTGAATTATAACCTGAAGAATTCAGTGGAATAATGCGGAGATTAGCAGCTTTACAGCTTACTGAAAATCAAACATGTCCCAACAGAACACAGTTTAGATGTCTGTAGTCATACATCAGATGTATAATTGCATTATAGACCACATTTGATAATTAAGGGTTAAGTCAAGGGCAGCTTTTTTGTTTAAATACAGCTGACGTTCTTTAAATCTTCCTCCCCCACCCCCACCTTGTTATCATCTGTGTTAATTAAAAAACAAAAAAACAACCCCAAACCCTCCGTCTACAACAGGACTCACATTGGAGACAGCTTCCCTGATACAATTTATATTATAGGTGATCCCTGAGAAATGTACCTGCAGCTATCTTCAAGTGCTCTGGAGTATCTCCCCCACCCCTGGTAGTGATTCTGTGGGTTCACCGCATTGGTTTATAACCAAGAGATGTGTCTTTGAAAGCTAGAAGGCAATAATACAGACCTGAAGATGCTTTCTAGCAGAGAGCACAGGCCAGGTGAATAAGCCAAATTTCTTTTATGTGCTAGCTGAGCAAGTCATCATAGGGGGTCTATGGAGAGCCTGTTACTGGGACCCATGGAGTGTGGTTCTTTTATGGTAGTTGAACAGTTAAGACTTTAAAAACATGTCTAGTGTTTCAAGTCATTAATGAAGATCTGTCCCATCCTGAAACCAATCACCAATGCGGTTCCAATGGCCCAGTTACCCTGAGCTCTCCCATACGCTTCCATGGGAGGTAAATGAGATCCCTCTGCAGTGAGCAGCAGCCTTTGCCTTGACCTGATGCCTAATGCAACACAACTGGTTGATGCTTAGACTTGTGCTCTTGGAACAGCTATAACCCTTGCCATAAAGCCCTTTAATAACATTTCATTAAGCCTCAGCTTTGTGCCCCAGGACCTGTGCTTGTTGGGAAAGGTTTGAGCTGGAGGCTTCACGAGTTTCTGTGTCTTTGAATCAGTAAAGTCAAGCTAGCAATGTCCTTGATTTCAGGGTACAAAGCCATGACATGGTTCACCTCACCATAAGGGAAAAGGGAGCACAGCTCCCTGTGTATGTTTGCTTGCTGGACAGAAGGTGACCTCGCAGCTGGGTTGGGCCAGTAGTCACCAGAAGAGGCATTGGGGTAAGCATGAGCTTTCTGGAAGAAGCCCAGGCCACTGCTGGAGTCTAACAGAAAGGGTGGCCGTGATGACTGGCCAGGGAAACAGTGCTGCTGCTGGTGCAATTGATGCTTGCTGTACAAGTGACGCAGGTCAGCGGAAAGAGCTGCAGACTGCGGCAAAGCATGGTGCTGAGTCTCCAGGGCCTGTTTGTGCTGAGACCCATCAGGGATGTAGCAGCTCCTCTGACCCACCCCGTGCATGCCACAGCACTCCTGAGGCCAGCTGTGGTCTGGGCGCATCCCACCCCGTGCAGGCACAAGCACCATTTGCTGGAAAGGGCATCCTGGTAGGCAGGTGCAGTCCAAGCTATCGGGTTGGTGAAGACCGTACAGGTTGTACCCAAGGTCACTGCAGTGATGAGGGCTGTCCATCACCTCTCTGTCCCATGAGGTACATATGGACTGACTGTAACCACAGGTGTCATCACTGATGGACAGCACTGACATCTTCTCCAGGAGCAGCCCTGGCTGCTGGTCTCTCACTGGCTCTGGATGTAGAAACCGCTGGTCCAGCCTCAGGTCAGCACTGGGACCACCAGCCCCAGTGCTGGATGTCTGCTCACGACAGCTCCCCCAGGACCACCCTGGGTAGGAGAAAGTCCCTGCGCAGCTGCTGGCTCCTTGCAGCATTTCTGTGCAGGCATCAGACAGTGCAGGGTCTCCTCTAGTCCTATACGGTGAGCAGTTACGCTGCTCCTCCTCTTTCCCCAGGCTAAACGGGTCCTTTATTTTGGCCCTGAGCTCATCGGCAACTGAGAGCTGGGCTTGATGCATCCTCTCTGGGTGATAAAATTTGCATTTATTGCCATAGGTGCACTTTTTACCTGAAAGAATAAAAAAATCAAACAGGAGGTTGTCACTAGCACCATGTCAATTAACTTACTCATCACTTCTACCCAGCACTGTGCATTCACATGGGTGGAATGAGGACATACAGCAAAGAGGGGAAGTGCTGTTTTCCAGTTCAGTACTTTTGACCCCAGATTTAAATATTGCTGACCTAAATAGGAGGGTGAAGCAGCAGGGAAAGGAAGTTTCTGCTGTTTGAGAAGTCTCTGAAATTCATTTATGTTCCAGTTGCTGCACTCAGTGGGCTGGGAGACCTGATGCTACAAAGGGTTGCTTTAAAAATGGTATAGAGGTTTACCTCTGAGAAACCTCCACAGTATTGGAAGGCTGTTTTGAGGGGGAAAGCATTTGGATGGCCTTTCCAGAGCCCACCCTGCAATGTAAAACATGTGTGCAGGCTAGGGGCAGGTCAGGACAGCCACAGTGCCTAGTTTGGGTGCTGTGCGCAGGTAAGGATGGAGGGGCCAGAAGTAACTGCTGCCTTTGCTGAGGCTGAAGCCACTTAAGCAGGAGAGGGGAAAAGGCATCACCCTGGCTGAAAACTCTATCACATAAAGTGCTGAGTAAGTGGCACGTGGCAACAGTGCTTGCCCTTAGCCAAAGGAAAGTGCTGCTAGGAAGCAAGGGGCAACAGAAAGAGGGATGGCAGTTCACAGCATGGAGAGAAACCCACCATAGGGGCAAGGCTGCCATGTTGGTTCAGGAAGCACTGGCTTTTTGCTGAGGAAGTTATTAAGTGTGGGTCCATGCCGGCCTAATGGATCATCAGGAGGCATAAACCTGAAAAAGGAAAAAGTCACAGGGGTAACAAAACTACCTCAAGCTTTTGAAGCTAAAGTGTTGTCACAGTGTGTGACACAAGCTTAGGGGAGAAGATCCCTGTGGTCCTTTTGCAGCCTGACCTTCAGGAGCCAGGCTGTGCTACCAGACATGGTGCCTTCCTGCCTGTCAAGTCAACACTTCAGCTTCATGTAGTTGTTTTTTTTCCTAATAACTTAACTGATAATACACTGCAGCTTGGCATAGCTCTGTCTGGCCAGTAGTCCCAGCCATTACAGCATCCCTTCCTTTTACGCTGAAGCAGCAGCAGCAGCAAACTCTTCTGTGGTCCCAGCACTGTGATCCTCACCAACAGCTACCTTCCACAACAAACTCACTTTTCTCTTACCAAATACTTGTAGGAGAATGAGGTTTAAAAAGCCAGCAGTTAATTCAGAGCTACAGCTGAACATGGTGTGATAAACAAGCCTAGCTCTTTTCAAGAGTTCAGTAAAGGCTTCCTGCTACGAGGCCTGCAAAAATGCTCAGATAAAACTGTTTATTCTTCTATGTCCCTACTTGAATGTGATGTTTCAGGATGAAAACAAATTAGCATCTCTAGACTTGTTTGAAAATGAACCTGCACTGCACCCACCAGTGGAACAACTCTGTCAGATGAATGGAGTCACTGGTGGAAGGAGGAGGGAATTTGTTCAACTACACCCAGCCATGCACCACCATGAATTGGTTCATCTGTATAAAGAGACTGAAGTCTCCAACTTCAGACTATGGTTTTTTGAGAGATACCCAAAACTGTGCAAGAGGGTCCTTCTAAAACTATGCAAACGAGTTTCAGAGAAACAGCTAGACTTTCTGAGGGAAAGGTTCTGAAATGATCTGACCTTTCCTATGAAATAGGATGGAAAACAAATAAATATTTGTAACCCATTAGTAACTAGGGAAGAAGCCTGATGGTAGTTGGAGATAATGGACTGAGGCTTCAAGAAATACAGTATGCTGATGTTCAGTGACTGCATTTCTGTGAGCAATGTTACAGGGAAATGGAAAGCCAGTGTCTAGCACTCCTGTCCAATTCTGGTGGTGGGACAGCCAAGTCTCCATCCTGACCCATGGAGAATGCCTCTGCGTGAGACAGCTTCTCTGCACACACTCGTCCATGCACACTGGAGGTCTCCCTGTGCTTTTCCACAGCCAAACTGCCTGATGATGAACACCCCTGCTGGTAGGAAACTCAGATAAGACTAGGAAGTATAAGGCTGAGGAGTATACAACTCAGCCTCAGAGGCATGGTGTAAGTGCCTTAATGGAAACCTTCCCCAGTGGGGATGGCTAAGGTGACAGAGAGACCATCTCTCTTCTAGAAAGTTATAGAATCACAGAACTATAAAATTGTTTAGGTTGGAAAAGACTCTTATAAGATCATGAAGTCCAACTGTAAAATAGCACTGCCAAGTTCACACTAAACCATAACCCTAAGTTCCACATATACATGTTTTTTAAATTCCTCCAGGAATGGTCACTCCACCACTTCCCTGGGCAGCCTGTTCCAACACTTGACAACCCTTTTGGTGAAGAAAGTTTCCTAATATCCAATCTAAACCTTGCCTGGTGCTACCTGAGGCCATTTCCTCTTGTCCTGTCACCTGTTACTTAGGAGAAGAGACCAACACCCACCTCACTACAATCTCCTTTCAGGGAGCTGTAGGGAGTGGTAAGGAAATAAGATCCTCCTTTTCTCCAGGCTAAACAACCCCAGTTCCCTCAGCCACTCCTCATAAGACTCCTCACCTGCATTGTTGCCCTCTCTAGCCATGTTCCAGTGCCTCAATCTCCTTCTTGTAGTGAGGGGCCCAAAACTGAACACAGTATTTGAGGTGCAGCCTCACCATATGCCAAGTACAGGGGCACAATCACTTCCCTGTTCCTGCTGGCTGCACTATTCCTGATACTATTCCTGATACAAGCCAGGATGCTATTGGCCACCTTGGCCACCTGGGCACACTGCTGGCTCATGTTCACTTGGCTGTCAACCAGCATTCTCAGATCCCTCTCTGCCTGGCAGCTTTCCAGCCACTCTTCCCCAGGAGTGTAGCATTGCATGACGTTGTTGTGATCCAAGTGCACAACTTGGCGCTTGGCCTTGTTGAAGCTCATACAGTTGGCTGCATCCCATCAATCCAGTCTATCCAGGTGCCTTTGCAGAGCCTTCCTACCCTCAAGCAGATCAACACCCCCACTCAACTTAGTGTTGTCTGCAATGATGGCATTGAAAAGGAATAAAAGGGCTGTTCTGCCTTGAAGGGAATTAAAAATGCTGCCAAGTAGCCAGCCTCCTCTCACCGATTTAATTCTGTTATCCTGCTATGAAACAGAAACTAAAAGTCGCAAGGCTTTTGGGTTAACATCCTAGTTTGGATTGGAAAGAAGCAGCACAGTTGGTCACTAATGTTGCCTTTCAAATAGAGAAGTTCATTGAAGAGTGACATGAGGGAGTTAAGACCAAAGCTGAGGGAACAGGAACTAAAGAAATGAGATAAGAAGAAAAGTTGTGGTAAATTCCCTTCAGAAAAAGACTCGTGTGTCTGACAGCTGGTGGGAGGTGCATTGATGCTGGATTTGACTTGGACCCTAATGTTTAAATTAAAGGTTGCTTAACAACAGCTGTTCCTTACCTGTTACTGACAAAAGAGTACATGAGTAGCCGCTGCTCAATAAACCATTTCCACTCAGGGTTTTCATTCTGGAGATCCCGGTAATGGTCATTGGAAACAATGACTCCATCTTTCTCATAAGCGACTTTCACTATATAGCGATCGTCATAGCAAACTACCCTCTTGCCTTTCACCTTCCGGGATGGGGTGTATACAAGGATTGATTGCTTTTCAAGCTCTTCAAGAATGTGCTGGTCTGGTGGAGTGGTTGGCAGAAATAGAAGGGGGGAAAAAAAATGAAGAAAATAATCAATTAATAATAACCAGGTCTCAATCATGTGCTAGAAACATATGGGAATCTAAAGATGTTCCAGCACTTTAGGCAACTTAAAGTGGTATGCTTTTCAGATGCACTGATATCTGGCAGTTATTTGGCAACTTGAAAATTAGGTCTTTTACAGAAGCATGTAACCTTAAAATCCAAGATATTTGAATTCTACACCAGAGATATGCTGAACCCCTCTAGTTCCCTTTTTATCCCACTAGATGCAAGAAGTCTCATCACCAGCCCTGCTAGGAGTGTTACTGGGAGAGAAAATGTGCCTAGTAAAATGAATAAATAAATAAAACTTATTTTGCTGCATTGAGGACACACTGGTATTCCTGCTACACAGAAAGGCAGATACCCAGATGCCCCACCTGCAGCTGCAGATGCCAAGGTGGTGGCACAAATCTGGCAGATCTATTTTCATACAAACTAAATCCCACCACCCTCCACAGACTTCAGATGATGCGTTTCCTTCTCCTGGAAGAGGAACCCATGTAGCTCCTGTACCAGGATAACAGGTTAACAGATAAAAGTCATGTGGTTGTGAACACTTTGGATAATGTCGCCTTTGGATAATATGTGAAATGATGTCCTTGTCTCCTGGCTGACCTTAAAAGCTCTGCAGACTCTTTGCAAGCTGACAAACTCACTCTTTCTTTAATTCAGCTGGCAGCAACTTGTTCTTCTCAAGCAGAAGGCTCAAAACACCATAAGAAAGCCTTTGCAGTTCTAGCTGCTAGCCAGGAGCATGCGGCAATAAATTAATGACTGATTTAAGTGATGGAAATCTGATACACAACTTGCACTGTGCTTGCCTTTACAGGGCAAAGCCATACTGGACTTTTCACACTCCCTGCCTCCAAACTGCACCTAATAGTTGCCAAATTATGCCCAGGCCAGTGACCTACCTGCAATTGGACTGTCTTGTCGAGGGGGCTCCTTTCTCCAGAGTGGGACAAAAACCTTGATGTACGTGTGCCCCCTTTCTCGAAACCAATCCACTGCCAGCTGGATCCCCCAGCATGAGAATACCTCTTTGTTTCCATGACTATAAAAGAAAAGGAGACGGATGGTGAAGCAAAGCTTTCGTGAAGCTTAGAGTTCTCTTTAACTGAGCCAGTAATGAAAAGGCAAAACAAAAAGCTTTTGTGTTATTCACCAATTTCCAAGAAAGCAACGTGGCAGGGTGTCCTGGTTGGACAGATCCAAACACCTCCTCCAGCAGAACCAGAAACTTGTTATCTGAAGCAGTCTGGATACTTAAAAACAGAGGTATCCTATCCCCCATTTCTATGACCTGCCTGCTGCCCAAGCCTATTTCTTCCATCTGTATCTGGATGGACTTGGGTCCTAAAGTACCAGCACAATCTTAGGCTGTGTCAGACCCTTCCTGTGCTTTGTCTGATAGTGGCTTGAGGAGTGAGAGTTTCTTCCAGCACAAGCAGAAACCCAGGAAGAGAGAAATAAAATGTGGGGATTTTTTCCTGTGGTAACAGTGACATTAGGGATTTTAATGTCTGAAGCAGTTACAAGTGTGATTGCAGGTCATTTTGCTGCTGCTGTTGACTTCTTTTGGAAACAGGAGTGAAACTGTGGGGGAAGGAAAACTGTAAGAGGCAGGATGGGAAATACAGAGAACCTAAGACAGGACACCAAAAATAGGACAAGATCTCAGTGGAGATGGCCACAGGCACCTCAGACCCATCTTTGTCTTGCTCTAGTTGGTGGATTTTTGTCTTAATTTCACAGAGAGGTAGGAAAGCCCTAGGACAGACACTGTAGAGGATGCAGACAAGGTGGGTTCTGGAGGATTATCAATATTCATGGAAAGACACAGAAAATATCCTCAAGAAAAACAATTAGGGGGGGATATCCTTCCTAAGTTCCTCACTCCCTCTATTGAAAATTCTTACTGTTTTCATTCTCTTATCTAAAATTTGACTACAGTGCAGTGCATGTGTAAAGGAAGGTAATTTGTTAATTACCTCTGGACAAAGAAACAAAAATAAGCTCCACACGAAGTCCTAAAATGTATAAGCTCCCTCACAGTATCTACAGAAACCTACTTTGAGCTTTCTAGATAGTGTCACCACAGTCTTATTCAGGCTTTCACCTCTGCAAAACATACTTGTAAATGACTCACTCTCAGTTACTACACATACCTGCAGGAACAGACCAGTCAAGGATGATGCCACGGTCTTAAATGCCTCTCTCCCCACCATCCCCCAGGAATTCAAGTCTGGGTTCTGCCTATGTCAGCCTCATAACCAAAGCTCTGTCTTACACCTAATAAAAGTTATTAGTGCTGAAATAGTGACAACAAATGAAAAATAGTGCAATTTGGAGGAAGAAACCCATCAGTTTATTAATAGCTACACAGGCAATAGGAAGTCTTAAAAAAAACCCAAACTACCACCAACAAATGTTCTGAAGTGCTCAGTGCATATAATTTCCATTCTAGAGCAACTGTTCTGTTTGATTTTAAAGAATATGATCTAGCCAGAATAGGTATAAACACATCTGAGCAGGTGAATTAATTGGAAGTGCAGATGGCTTTTTCAGATAACTGCCTCTAAAAGGATGTCTAGGTACGTGTCTTTAATGCCACGATTTGAAGTTCAACAACAGCCTGCTTTAACAATTTAAGATGTAACCCCAATGCAGAAGGTAAAGCACTTAGTGCAAGTGATCTGGCCAAAAGGACAAGCAAAACAAACGAGAAGAGACACCTGGAATTGTTCCTCAGCATTATCACTTAACTCTGTTGCTACTACACTGCCACAGCCAAACTTGGGAAACGCATATCTAAAATACCAAGTACATGCATGGTGTGCTGGAGTGTCAGCGCAGCTGAGGCCTCATACCTACTGTGCAACGGAGCAGGGACTTCTGCAAACAGCTCTTCTGTGCCTGACAGCAACAAACCAGAAAAATTAAGCAAGGATATCGAAAGCACTCACCAAGCCCATCCCATTAGCCAGAGTAAATGTCATTCATCACTGCTTTGGAAAGGCACCCAGGAGAGGAAAGCAGCTTCTTCCAGGCTGCTTCAGTTCAGTATGAACCAAATTGACAAGCTGAATAGTCTTCTCCATCATCCACGTAGTTTTTAACCTTATCAGCACATAGGTTGGGGATGTCTGAGAAGAGCTGTAAAACTTTTGCCTTTCTGAAACTCAAAAGTACTTAACATTCCTCTAACTCCTTTTAGCTGAAAGATGAGGAATCCACAGCAGAACACCAGCCTTCAGTAACCTAGCAGGCAAACATCTCTCAGACTCACACTTTGGAAGCGCGTGTGGCTTCTTTAAAACCCATATAGAAGGGCATGTGTCCTAGGAAAGCAGTAACACATGCTAGCTCAAGCCATTTGCTGCACATACATGTATTGATATTTGTTTTAAATAATCTCTGTCTAACAAGTTCCTGTTACTCCAAGCTCAAAACATGCACGATCTCATCAGCCACCAGTCCACTCTGGGCCTCCTGCTCAGTGGCATGGGTGCATCTTCTGCCACCTTGGAAACTACACTGTTCTGTGCCTTGTCCACCTCTGCCTGCTGTAAAAGAGCCCTGGTAAACAGGAGAGGACAAGGAGAACGAAGCACATGGCAAGCCAGGGGTAGTGTTGCCCCTACCACAATGAAAGGCTAGGTGCTCAGCTCAGCTGCTCTGCCTGAATGGATACTCATTTCTTTTACAGCGAGGCAAGAAGAACACCCTAAAGAGAGTCCAGGGTGAAAATGCAAATGGGGGTGTGAGATCTCAACACCTGGCTACTAAGCTCATAGTCCAGCCAAGGCTAAGAGACTTTGCCCTGTTGTGTATTTCTCACTTCTCCTGAGCTCCCTGACTGAGAAACCCCTCATTTTTGGATGGGATTTCTCCCTACATCCAGAAGATGGCATAATTTGCTTAGTCTCCAGTTGGTCTGGCTGTGCTTGTCCCCTTGGCCCTCTAACCACAGAGGATGTGGTCTTATCTCACCTCACACCAAAGCTAACCGAAGGAGAAAGCCCTCCTCTGCCCTGTCCCAGCCTGCAAGGTTGAGCTTGGCCATGCTGAGTGGGAAGGGAAGTTAAGAGGGAAACCTGGTGGATAGACACTGCGTGCTGGACTCTCGCTTGGCAGGGCACCCAGGCCACATCTCTAAGCGTGCTTTCACAGTGTCAGGGCACTGCTTCGGAAGTATTATTGGTCAGGATGGGTTGCTATGACATTTCCCAGAAACAGACTTAATTAAGGAGGAAATGAGGCTGTTCAGTACAAGTCAACTATCGATCCCCTGATATTTCAATTAAAATTAAGCTAAACTGAAAACCAACAAAAATATACAAGCCAGGAATGTTGTTGGGGTTTACATGCAAGTGAAAACAGTACAACCGTGATGTTTTTAGGAACCGCAGCCACCTGTCTTTGTTTTCCCTCTCCTTCCTAGGTTACTTGGGCTGTTCTATCTGGTCATCAGTTTCTCCTAGAAATATCCTAGCATAGAGATTTAGAAATCCTAAGTTCCCGTCTGAAAAGGCATGTAAACATCAATGGTGAAGTAAAAGGGAGAGAGAGCTGCTGAATCATACTGCTAGAAACAGCAGTGGTTAGCTAGCTGGTGGCTTATGAAAGGTCAAAATGCAGAGCAAGCCAGTGATTGCGTTTGGTGTGCGTATTTATGGGCAGAGAGACAGCAGGTCCCTAGAAGCTGTGCCTCAGCCAAAGAACAGGAATGAGCACTGGTTCATATATTACACATCATGTACAATGCACCTCTCACCTGAAGAAAGAACATACTTCAAGCCATCAGCTTTCAAATTCAAAAGCTTCAGAGGAAGAGAGATCCCTCTTAGGAAACAGAGCTTACCTCATTGCAACATTGCTGCCATCGATCACAATGGGCCTCAAATGATCAGAAGAATCATCTTCTCCAAGCCACTCTGATCCTGGTGAAGGGTTACATGAGCCACGGGCAACAAGTTTTAGCGGGGAAGGTTGAGTCTGGCTCTCCAGAGCTTGAGGTTTGCTCCCCATCCGAATCAGCTCTTTCAGCACGTCATCCTCCAAGGCCTCTTGGCCCAGGTTCTCCAGCACTTTGCAGATGTCCTGCTTACCATAGCCGAGCTTGCGGAAAAAGTCCAGCTTGCTCTGGAGCATGTCCAGCCCTGCTGTAGAGACTTCTCTGGAGCGTGGTGGCACTGGCTTGCTAGAAAGTGAACTGGCCAGTGCCGTCTTAGCAGGTATTTATGTTCCTTTAAAGTCAGTGCTCTTGTCTTCCTAGCCTCATTCAACAGGTGTCAGCTTCAGCTGGGGGAAAGATTAGAAACAACAAAATTCAAGCATTAAGGAAGAACGTGTGATCTCAGTTACATGCAAAGCAAAGGGACTATCTGATCAGCTGCCTTCTTTCTGAAGAGATTGGGCTTCTCTCAACTTTTCAGCATTTTTCTGGTCTGCTCTTATTTATAAAAGCCCTGGAGTGTTCCCTGCAGTGTTTGTCACTTTCCAGGCATTATGTCACACAGGTGTCATCCTACTTCATGAGCTATGCAGGCCAGTCTGGACACAGACATGCTGTATGCGTAAGTTTGTTCTTCAGACTGATCTCACAGGAAATGATACAAAGGACGGTGTAACCGGGGATTTTCAATTTGCTCAGTGCGGTTTCTGAGCCAGAGATAAAAATCTGTCAAATGTTGCTGGGATGAGCTCAGACGCTATAGCAACTCAACAAGTACAGCAAATTTCATCAAGTGATTTTAAGGAAACACATTGTTTTCAAAACAAGTGTTTTTTTAATCGTTTTGTCCTTCCTAGTATGTGTCTGTCTGTGTAAGCACAGACATACCTTATGAAATTCTGTCACTCATCTGTTCCGATGATGCCTGACTTACTCTTTTCCTGTTATTTGCTATTTCGGTGAGGGCTTTTATTTTCAGAGAAGTGGTTTGGTTTTTGAAAGCTGCTGGGGCAGTGGTTGGAAGCAGGCAATCTGAAAGGTAGTTTCAATTTCACTTAGACATATTGTCAAGAGAAACTGGTAATTCAGAAATGACTGTGCAGAAGCAGAACAAAGCTACTTCAAGCTTCTCCAGAACTGCTCTATTTACGTTTCTGGTCTACCCAGTAAATGAAGGTGATGACCAGCATACCCAGAGATGCTTCATCCCAACACGTGTGACAGGAGCAGGACATACTCATCCATCAAGCCAAACACCTTTGGTCACCATTGGCATGCTTACACCAAAGCTTCTCTTGCCAAATCTCTGCAATTATTGGTGCTACCTGGATAGAAGCTGTGCCTGGTTCATCTACCCACGTACAGGACAGAAGGGCGGCCCTTTTCCCTTCACTAATTGCAGCCAGCAAATGACGCAGAATTAACTGACCGAACAACTCCCTCCATGACGAGCCCAGAGCCATAATCACATTGCACCCACCAGCTCCCCTTCACAGCCCACTCTGCACACCGCCAGCCCGCTGGATGCTCCCTGCCCGGCAGTGGGCCACACCAGGAGCTCAGAACCCAAAACCATCTGGAGGAAGGCACAGAGGGACTGAGAGATGGAGATGGAGAGGAGCCTGCATGCAGCTCCTCCCTGAGGCAAATAACCATTCCATTGGCTGTGGGGAAGAAATCCA